CTGTGAGATTTTTTGTTTTTTTCATCCACGCGCGTACACATCGTTATCTTAATCTCACCATTCGATAGAGATCCGCCCAATTCAGTGAGGTATTAATTCACTTTGCCTTTTATTAAATAAGCTGATGGACGCGATAAAAATTAAACATTACATTACATTTAAATGTTTTCATATCCGATACGCTACCTCTTTATGTACGAGTACTGTAAATTCAAAGGAATGTGTGATTATTGTTGGTGCGACAGCCACTTCTCATGAATTCCTATTCTGCAGATTAAAATGATAAGATAAACAAGCTTTCGTTTCTCTAGATCAGATTTTTTGTTTGGGTTGGACATTTCACTATAGATAATAAAAATTGTATCACTTTACATAATTATTTGTGGCACTCAGGTGAACTTTTTTTTTTATCGGCACATCTAAAATCAATAAAAATGACCGCAAGACTTTTTTCCTTTTTTTTTTACGCGCTGTTCTCTTCGCTGACTGACTGACCTCCTGAATTGCCGTTATCTCTATAAATAATTATTTTATTTTGAATTTGCGTAATTGCTTCTTTTGTCGGTCGAACTTTCTTTTCCGTAATTTACCTAATTCTAGTCCATCATTCACAAAAAAAAATAAAGCAGGTGTTTTTCTTTTTTCTTTCTTTCGTTGGTGGACAGCTACTGTGTGTTTTCAAGTTACTAAAAATTTAATCAATCAATCAATCAATCAATCAATTATCTTCAAAAGATTACGCGGTATATACGCATAGATACTTATCGCAATACTCCGATTGTGTGAGTGACGTATTTTATTAAATTCTTATCTCTTCTCCTTGGTTTGACGCCGTCCGCCTTCTGACGCCTTCGTAGTGTATAATATATATAAGCAACTCAGCGCGCTAGCAAAACATTTTACCCATAAAGAGTAGCTGCACTCGAAAAAAAAAAAAAAGAGTCACTTTCTATTTTTTGTTGTATCTCTCTCTCTCTCTCTCTCTCTCTCTCTCTCTCTCTCTCTCTCTCTCTCTCTTTCCCTCCCTTGGATCTCGATCTTTCTTCGCTTTTTCTCTTTAATTCTAAAAGTTCAACAGATCTTTTCATCGTTATTCTTTGGAAACTTCTGATTAGCTAATATCACCATATATCAATCTATAAATCAATTCTTTAATTAGATTTCCTAAATAATTATGATATCTACTGTCGACTCTTTACAACAAATTAATAATCATTGTCTTAAAGATCAACTGTCAATTAATAATCGAGAAGAATCTGCTACTAACAATTCCTGGGCAGATACTATTCCCCAAAAGCAAGGTCTTTATGATCCCGATTATGAAAAAGATTCTTGTGGGGTAGGTTTTATTGTACACATCAAGGGTGCTCCCTCTCATAAAATTCTCAGCGATGCTCGAGGCATCCTTTGCAACATGACCCATAGGGGTGCTGTGGGTGCCGATGCGAGAGATGGTGATGGGGCCGGTGTGATGACCGGAATTCCTCATGATTTCTTTCATCTGGAAACTTCAAGGTTGGGCATTGTTTTGCCTCCACAAGGTCAATACGCCGTCGGTAACATATTTTTCAAACCAGAACCTGTGGTAATGGAGGAATGCAAGCAGGCATTCGAACGTATTGCCGAAAGTTTGAATCTCAAGATTTTGGGTTGGCGTGAGGTTCCGAGGGACAATTCGATCCTCGGTCCCGCCGCAAAGTCACGTGAACCGGTGATCCTACAGCCGTTTGTTACCTTGGCGAGCTTTGATGCTTCTGCTGAGAACAAATCTGCACCCTATCAGGATGATGTTAACACATTCGACGAGACCTATTTTGCCCGTCAGCTCTATGTTCTCCGAAAACAATCCACTCATCTCATCACCATAAAGAAGTGGTTCTACATTTGTTCTTTGTCAAACAAAAATATTGTTTACAAGGGTCAGTTATCTCCCGTGCAGGTTTATAATTACTTCCACGATTTGAACAGTGTTCATTACAAAACTCATTTTGCTTTGGTCCATTCGCGTTTTTCCACAAACACCTTCCCTTCCTGGGACCGTGCTCAACCTATGCGCTGGTGTGCTCACAACGGCGAAATTAACACCTTGCGCGGTAATAAGAATTGGATGAGAGCTCGTGAGGGTATCATGAAATCCGATCTATTCGGAAATGAGTTGGAACTTTTGTACCCCATCATCGAGGATGGTGGATCTGATTCGGCTGCTTTTGACAATGTGCTCGAATTGCTCGTAATAAACGGTGTCATCACTCTCCCAGAAGCCGTAATGATGATGATTCCCGAAGCCTGGCAAAACAATCATTCCATGGAACCCGAAAAACGTGCATTCTATCAGTGGGCTGCTTGTCTCATGGAACCTTGGGATGGTCCAGCTTTGTTCACCTTTTCTGACGGTCGATATTGTGGTGCTAGCTTGGATCGTAATGGTCTTCGTCCGTGCCGTTTCTACATCACCACCGATGACATGATGGTCTGCGCTTCGGAAGTTGGCACGATCTTGATTGATCCCGAAAAGGTTGTGCAAAAAGGTCGCCTGCAACCAGGGAAAATGCTGTTGGTCGATACTGAAGAAGGTCGCGTCGTGGACGATAAGGAATTAAAGTTGTCTGTCGCTGCACGCGAAAACTTTCGCGAGTGGATTGAGAAACAGATGGTTACCATGGACAATGTAATCCAGAAGATTAAAAGTACCGGCAATGGTATCGAAGTTGAATTGGACGATCTTCCTATTTCCGAAGATCCAAGATTACGCGCATTCGGTTACACCCTCGAACAATTAAATCTTTTGGTCTTGCCAATGGTATTTATTTGACTTTTTTTGTCGTTGAGATTGCTTGTGAAATGTAGTCGATTAATAATCGTTATCATCCTCCTCATCTTTTTTTTTTTTTTAAAAAAAAAATAAAATCAAATGATCACATAGTTAAATAGCGGCAAGGAAGCTTTGGGTTCTATGGGAAATGACTCACCTTTAGCTTGTCTCTCAGCCCAACCTCGGTTAATCTATGATTACTTCCGTCAGCTTTTCGCTCAAGTTACCAATCCACCAATTGATCCCATCCGTGAAGAAATCGTCATGTCCCTGGAATGTTATGTTGGACCTGAAGGAAATATTTTGGAAATCAACGAGCAACAAACAAACAAATTTGCTTTGCCTTCGCCGGTGCTTTCAATCGAAGAATTGAATGCCATAAAACGAATAGAGCGTGTTCTACCAGACTGGAGTGTTACAACCATCGATATCACTTTCCCAAAACAGGAAGGCGTCAACGGATACCTTCTCGCTTTGGAACGCGTTTGCGCGGAAGTTTCTCAGGCCATCCAAGAAGGATTCAAAATTGTCATCCTCTCCGACGCAGCGGTTAATGCTGAACGTGTCGCGATATCTTCGTTGATCGCAGTTGGCGGTGTGCATCATTACCTTGTAAGAAGCAAGCAACGTTCAAAGATTGCCCTCATAGTTGAAACTGCGGAAGCACGCGAAGTTCATCACATCTGTGTCTTATTGGGTTACGGTGCTGATGCCATTTGTCCTTATCTCGTGATAGAAGCCATCCTAAAATTGAATCGCGAAAATATTCTGAAGAGTGACCTACCCATAGAAAAGCTCATAGCCAATTATAAGAAAGCGATAAACAATGGTATCCTCAAAGTTATGTCGAAGATGGGAATTTCAACTTTGCAAAGTTACAAAGGTGCACAAATTTTTGAGGCGCTAGGTATTGACGAAAGTGTCATCGCTCGTTGTTTTGCTGGCACTTCTAGTAGAATAAAAGGTACTTTCAGTGTCTTCTTTTGTTTTCGCACTTGGCATGCTTTCAGGTGATTGACCGACTTCGGACTGACTGATTGATTGGTTTATTTGAAATTCCATAGGAACCACATTTGACATTTTGGCGCTAGATGCTTTCGCCTTCCACGAGCAGGGTTTTCCTAGTCGCGACGTTATCCTTCCACCGGGTCTTCCCGAGGCAGGCGAATATCATTGGCGCGATGGTGGCGAACCTCACATTAACGATCCTTCCGGTATCGCGAGTTTACAAGACGCAGTTCGCACAAAGAATCAATCATCTTACGACGCCTACTCTCGCAACGCTTACGAACAAATTAAAAACTGTACTTTACGTGGCCTCTTGGACTTCGATTACGATAATTCCAAATCCATACCATTAAGTCAAGTTGAACCCTGGACTGAAATTGTCAAAAGATTTTGTACCGGCGCTATGTCATACGGTTCTATCTCAATGGAAGCTCATTCCTCTCTTGCTATCGCGATGAACCGTTTAGGCGGCAAATCGAATACTGGTGAAGGTGGTGAGGATCCAGAACGTTCCATACCATTAAAGAATGGTGACTCCATGCGTTCCTCTATCAAACAAGTCGCTTCCGGTCGTTTCGGCGTGACCTCTTATTATCTCTCTGACTCTGACGAATTACAAATCAAGATGGCCCAAGGAGCAAAACCTGGAGAAGGTGGTGAACTCGTTGGCAATAAAATTGACGTAAATATCGCGCGCTGCTGGGCTCCCGGTACCGAATTCATCATGTTCAACGGTTCCATCAAGAAAGTTGAAGAGATTCAGCTCTATGATCAGTTGATGGGCGATGATGACACTGTTCGCACTGTTCTTGGGACCAACAACGGTCGTGGGCAGATGTACAGCATTCAACCCATCGGTAAATGCTCTGGTGACGCGTTTGAAGTTAACGGCGAACACATTCTTTGCCTCAGAATTGGTAGTAAATCGAAAATCAATAAAAACGAAAAACACCGTGGTGTCAAGCATTGGGAATATGTTCTGGAGTGGTTCGAACACAACCCTGAAACTAATAACATTACAAAACGTTGCAAAGTCTTCAAATATCCATCCAAAGATTTTCCGGATGAAGTATCTGCTAAGAAAGCGGTCGAAGAAGCTAGAAATCGTGTGTCGGATCTCCACGAAGAAGAGTTTATCTGGGAAGTCAGTGTCGAGAATTTCTTGAAACATCCAAAATCTATCCAAAAAGCATGCGTGTTGTACACCCCTGGGTTCGTCCGCTTCCCATCCTGCGAAGGTTATCTTGCTGGCATTCTTCACGAGGTGCTCAACAAAGAGCCAACCTCCGAGCAAGTACAAGGAGTCGCCTGGCTCGTTGGTGTATGGCTTGGTGAGGATTCTACGAGCAGACCCACCTTATTGCGAAACTCTAGTAAGATAAAATTCATTGACAAGGTGAAGAGCGTTGTTGAAGGTATCGGGTGTGAGGTGATCAGTGAAATCACAAATAATGAACAAGTAGTCTTATCAATTCACGTCAGTAAAGATGTCAAGCTGAGTATTGCCGGCAATCCATTATCTGAGATCTTGTGTAAACTTGGAATCACGAGTCCTGCTGGGAAAATGAGTGCCGACTTCAAGATTTTGCCTCGTGCTCTGATCCTCGATGAGTTGAACGTTCGTTTGCATCTTCTCGCTGGCCTCATTGATGTTAATGGGCAATACAAGAAAAGTCGAAACATGTATGACTTTGGTCAACATCACAAGCATATTGTCAATGCCGTCCGTGAATTATCAAATCTCACTGGGTTCAGCGTTAGCAAGGTCACTTGTCAAGACGAGGTCAGACCCCTGTGGAATGTATTAATCGGAGGTTCGAATGTAAATCGTATTCCTATCACTGCCAGAAGTAAGTTCCGCAAATTGACAGCAGAAGGTTTCCGTCGCTATAATTCCTGGAGTTTCACTGTGATTCCGACGGGTGCGAACGATCAATTCTATGGATTCACCACGGATGGAAATGAACGGATGCTCCTCCGTGATTGCACCGTAACGCATAATACGCGAAAGACTGTTCCTGGTGTCGGTCTAATTTCTCCACCGCCGCATCACGATATTTACTCTATTGAAGATTTAAAACAATTAATTTACGACTTGAAATGCTCAAATCCTCGCGCTCGTGTGTCCGTAAAATTAGTATCAGAAGTTGGTGTTGGTATCGTTGCCGCTGGTGTTGCCAAAGCCAAAGCCGATCACATCTTAATCGCCGGTCACGATGGTGGTACTGGTGCTTCCAGATGGACGAGTATAAAGTATGCTGGCTTACCATGGGAGTTGGGTCTTGCTGAAACACATCAAACTCTTGTGCTCAACAATCTTCGTGGTCGTGTCATTGTTCAGACCGACGGTCAAATTAGGACCGGTCGCGATGTGGTAATTGCTTGTCTTCTGGGCGCTGAGGAATGGGGTTTCGCGACCACACCATTAATCGCCATGGGTTGTATAATGATGAGAAAATGTCACCTGAACACCTGCCCTGTCGGTATTGCAACTCAGGATCCAGAACTTCGAAAGAAATTCGAAGGTCAACCCGAGGATGTGATTAACTTCTTTTATTACATTGCTGAAGAATGTCGTCAAATTATGGCAAAGCTTGGTTTCCGTACCATCAACGAGATGGTCGGTCGTTCAGATAAGCTCAAAGTTAATGAATCATTGCGTAATCCAAAAACGGAAAACATCGATCTTACACCAATTTTGACACCGGCATACACCCTACGTCCTGGAGTGGCAACTCACAATGTCTCCAAGCAGGATCATAAACTATACGTTCGTTTGGACAATAAACTCATTGACGAATCAGAACTTGCTTTGACCAAGAAGAAACCGGTCGAAATCGATTGCAACATTATCAACACCGATCGCACCCTTGGTGCCACCTTATCTTTTCACATCTCTCGACGACACGGCGAAAAAGGCTTACCCGATAACACGGTTCACGTAAAAATTAAAGGTTCCGCCGGTCAATCATTCGGCGCGTTCGTAACCTCGGGTGTCACATTGGAGTTGGAAGGTGATGCCAACGATTATGTTGGTAAAGGACTCTCCGGGGGTCGTCTTATTGTCTATCCACCCAAAATTTCAACATTCAAATCTGAAGACAATATCATCGTGGGCAACGTATGTTTGTATGGTGCCACTAATGGTCAGGCATTCTTCCGGGGTATTGCCGCTGAACGTTTCTGTGTACGTAATTCTGGTGCTACCGCAGTCGTCGAAGGTGTTGGTGATCATGGCTGCGAATATATGACAGGAGGAATTGTAGTGATCTTGGGTTCAACTGGTCGTAACTTTGCGGCCGGTATGAGCGGTGGCGTTGCTTACATCTTAGATCTGGCGGAGGATTTCCGAGGGAAATGCAACCCCGAAATGGTTGATCTTGAGACCGTCAACGATTCCAAAGAGATCGCATTCTTGCGTGGATTAATTGAAGATCATCGTCAATATACCGGATCAGAAGTTGCCGATAAAATTTTGAAAAACTTTAATCAAGTACTTCCACGTTTCATCAAAGTCATGCCAACAGAGTACAAAGCTATTTTAGAGAAACAAAGAATCGCAGCCGAAGAAGCTAAAAAAATACAAATCATTGAACAACCAACACAGCAACAAATTGCAGTCAAATCCAAGGAACCGTCCGTCGTGGATATTGAAGATTCAATGGTCGATGAAGAAGCCGCCAAGAAGAAACTTGAAAATCTTGATAAAATTCGTGGTTTCATGAAATACAAGAGAAAAGTTGATAATTACCGAAACCCTCTCAAGCGCGTCAAGGACTGGAAGGAAATCAATGCCCGTCTCAGCGAAGCCGATCTCAAGGTGCAGGCAGCCCGTTGTATGGATTGTGGTGTACCCTTTTGTCAATCAGATACCGGTTGTCCAATTGGTAATATTATTCCCAAGTGGAACGAACTTGTGTTCAAGAATCAATGGTTAGATGCGTTGAATCGATTGATGATGACGAATAATTTCCCCGAATTCACTGGTCGTGTCTGCCCAGCGCCTTGCGAAGGTGCTTGCGTCCTGGGAATCAATGAAGCACCGGTTAGTATTAAGTCTATTGAAGCAGCCATCATTGATAAAGGTTTCGAAATGGGATGGATCGTGCCGAAACCACCATCGATTAGAACCGGAAAGAAAGTTGCGATTATTGGATCCGGACCTGCTGGCCTCGCTGCCGCCGATCAATTAAACAAGGCCGGTCATACGGTCACTGTATACGAGCGTAATGATCGATTCGGAGGATTATTAATGTATGGCATTCCAAACATGAAGCTCGACAAAAAGATTGTTCAACGACGTATCAACCTCTTATCAGACGAAGGAATCAAATTTGTTGCAAATGCTCACGTCGGAGAAAATGTTGACGCATCAAGAGTTCGAAGTGAAAACGACGCGTTAATAGTAGCTACCGGTGCAACTTGGCCAAGAGATTTAAAAATACCGAATCGTAATGTTGATGGAATTCACTTTGCCATGGAATTTTTACAGCTCAACACTCAATCCCTCTTAGATTCAAGTCTTCAGGATGGTCGATATATCAGCGCGAAAGACAAGCATGGTAAGCATATATGTGCTTGGCAGTTTGACAAAATGCCGCATCTGTTGTCAGCGTGTGACTAACATTTGCCTTCCGAAATATAGTCGTAGTGATAGGCGGTGGTGATACTGGTACAGACTGCATAGCGACATCACTTCGTCATGGTTAGCATCGGGCAATTGAATTATATTTCGATGTTCTTTGTATTATTCAAAGATACTAATTCCTCGTCACTTCACAGGTGCGAAGTCAATTGTAAACTTTGAACTGCTTCCACAACCTCCTGCAACCCGTGACAAGAGTGAGTGTTTATTTGAAATTCAAGCTTTTTTTTTTTTTTTTTTTAAGAAAAACTTGTATTGACAATCTAATTTCAAAAAGTCGCGAACCCTTGGCCAACCTTCCCGAGAACGTTTAAAGTCGATTATGGTGGGTGATCCGTTTTCTTCAATCTCATTCGATTTTATACGGAGGTGCTAACACTTTGTTCATAGGTCAT